TGTTGCCATTTCTTTCTTGTTCCTTCATAATTTAGCCACTTTCTCTCTTGCAGTTGCCTGGTAACAAGTATTTGTACTTCTCAGCATTGTTTAGCAGGAATGCTGGGAGATGAACGGCCGAGTAAGACTGCGGGATCGGTCCCATCTTCCCGATCATTTCCCGAAACGTGTACTCTTCGGGAAGCATGTCGAATAGGTCTGCTCCTTTGCAAATTATGTCCTGAATTCTGTCGGGGTTTAAGTAATGAGAAAACCTGACTCTGTCGAAATGGCTGTATGCTTTCATCTTGAATATGAACTCACTGATACGACGGAAGCAAAAGCTACAATGCCACCCCGAATCCGATAAGACTTCATCGGATTGACGATAATGAGCGTACCGTGTTTTACCATGCTTGTACTGATGAACAGAAGCTCTCCAGCTGTTCTCATCTTCATAAAACTCAAAGGAGTATAAGTAGTTCTTTAGCCGCAGATGGAGTATGGGCGGAATATTGTCGCACCACCTCAAGAGGTTTATCGTGTGAGCGCTCGGGATCTCGTCAACATCAGACATGATCAACAAGTCATCATCTTGTATCCCTGATATCCTAATTAGCTGATCCAAAGTCAGTCTTTGATATGCCTCTTCAACAAATGGATTCTCTCCTTTCTTAAACCTTCCTCCTACCATCCCATAATTCAACCGCGACTCGACAAAGCTAAACTGTTCCCGGTTGTTTGCAAATACCAATGGCTTCGTTCGACCAGTGAACGTTGAGTTCGACTCGAGAAGCACAAACTGACTCACATAAGGATACAGTTCCTTCCATCTGATAGTTAGGATGTCAACTTCGTTACTAAACAGAACAGCATCGAAAACTCGTCGAGGCAATTCGCGCATCGTCCAACCATGAAGCTTGCAGAGAGACTCCATGGATACATTTTCATGATAGTAATGAGGGATTTCATGAAATGGCTTTGGAGGAGACTCCCATAAAGGTCTAAGGAAATAAGAGACCTTCTGGCCATGAAGATATATGAACAGTATCAAGAGTGGAACAGCCACAAAGAAAGAAATTAGTATCTTCAAATTCCACGCTCTAAGAATACATCGTAATCTAGACAAACCAAAAGCCCCACGAGGCCCCTGCCACATACAAAAACAACAAACATTGAAGAACACAATCAGCAATCAAACGACATTTCCAGATGCAAAAACAAGTGAAAAACGATAAATGGGGACGACAAGACGTTAAATGAGCTGAAATTTGCACACCCAGAAAAGGAAATTTAGCTATAAATGGAAACGAACAACAAATTTGATTGAATTCCAAATCAATGCACACTTCAAATCAAACCATTCTACTCATAAACAGAACAAAAACGAAGAATGTCCATCATTAATGGGCATTTCCAAAGGAATCAAAGACAAGTTCAACCAAAAGGGTTAAGAAAAATGAAGAACAACACACAAGTTTTTAACCCAAAAAGTCCAGACAACAGATTCGGAACACAAGATAAAGAAACAATCGAACAAGAGAAACAGAGAGGATTCAAAGCAACAGACCTGGCCGCAAACACCATCAATCCTTTTAGAGCTGTAATACCCATCAAACATTATGAACAAAATACAGACAAATCTCAGAAAATGCCGAATAAATCCTCAAATGCTCTCTCAAAACTCCGCAAAATCAGATCCTAGAAACTCCGACAAACAAATCCCCACAAAAGGGGCGAAGCAAACTAAAATTTGGAAGAGATATTTCGGCGGTGTGGGTATAAAATGTGAAATGGACTCAGTTTAAACGCTCTGTTTCAATCGACATAGCGCAAATACTAGCCGTTCTGTTCTTATTGATGGCTTTCATGAACAACTCTCAATTCCAGAATCCCGGAGTTTGAGAGAGAGAGGTCATCGGAGAGATGACTGAGAAGAATGCAGGAATGGTGCTTACTGCTTAACCTCAAATATTTCTTTATTTATATATTTTTTTTATCCCCTGAATTTTCCTTCACCAAATAATCCCAAAAATTTAGAAAACTTTCAACGAAAGGGAATATATCGTGTGCGCTCATACTCACACTATCACCCATCTCGATCTATTGTCGATCGTTGGATTGAAATCCAAATGCTGATCCAATGGACAGCCAGCTTAAGGAATGCTCCGTGACCAATTATAGTTTAGTCAACTTATACATGGAACTGTGGTTCAATTCGAAATTCCCGCCTGTCATGTTAGTAATTTAAATCAGTAATAAAAATATATGTTGGTAAATTCATGATCAATTTCAAATTTACATGCCCTCCCAAATTAAATTTAAATTAATGAACACTTAGCCAATCGAATAACGCCACCTGTCTTGAAGTTATTGAACTAAGTTTAAATAAGTAAAATCTAAAAAAAAATAAAAAATAAATTATCCAATTAGAGTCGGCCATACTTAAATCTAGTATGAGGTCAATTAAAAGCCTTCATTTGATAGATCGGTCAACGAATTTAAAGATTGGTCGTCTAAAAAAAATCAAGAAATTTAATTACCGTTGATCCAAGAAAATCAATATGCCTTCTCAAATGTCGATCATCTAATCAACATGTCAAAGGACGATCCATTAAGAAGCGTTTTGAATTGAAATAAAAATATAAACAATTTCATGATATAATGCTATTAAATTTAATAATAATAATACTAGTTCAGGTCGATTCAATTTTATATATAAAAATTGTTGTTAAATAATAAAAATATATGTTGATAAATTCAAGATCAATTACAAATTTACCTGTCTTCCCAAATTAAATTTAATTAAATGAAAAATTAGCCAATCGATGTCAAATGGATAAAAAATATTAATTATTAGAGTAGAGTCGATCGTACTTAAAGCTCGTACGAGGTCACCTTCATTTAATAGATCGTCTAAAAAAATAAAAAAAATTAATTATCATTCATCTAAGAAGATCAATATGCCTTCCGAAAGGTCGATCATCTAATCAACATTCGATCTATTAAGAATGTTTTAAATCCAAATAAACCTATAAATAACTTCACGATATGATTATTAAATTTAATATAAAATATAAAAATTTAAATATTCAAAATTAAATTAAATAATACTATTATACTAAATTAGTTTAAGAGTAAGCAAAAAATTAAAACGAAATAAAATGAAATTAGAGGGTATAGTTTATTTAAATAATTTGAAGAGAAATGAAAGTTTGGTAAATGCCAGATGGATTCGGTTGACGTAAGATTGCCACGTGTAAGAAGGGTAACCTAGAGAAGTTGGGTTCGCTTGGTCTTCTTTGACAGCTAACTCCACATGACTTGTGAAAGTTGGATTGAGGAATCTAAGTACTCCTCGTTTGACTTCTTCTTTGCCTTTTATTCTCACATTTCTCATATTTAAATTTAATATATAATAATTAAACGATTTTTTAAATATATTTTTCTTTAAATTTCAAACTAACTAACTTTATATTGCTGTCCACGTCATCATAGGATAAACCTGCATTTTTAAAATAACAAAAAATTAAAATTTTGAAAATTTTACTAACGTTTTTTTTTCCTAATTAAAATAAGAATATCATTTAAAATATTATTTTCTTATTGAAAAATAAAATAAAATTAAGAATAAGACACCCGAGAGAATGAAGTCTATATTTATTATAAATAATAGAAAATGAATTCTCGTAGAATTGAACATCATTTTCTATATTAATTAGATAATAGAATGTCTCGTTTAATTGTGAAAGTAACGAACATGCAAACTATTAGAGTTGTTTTCTCAATTAAATGAGACCATAAACAAAATGTTTCTACTTTTAAAATTTTTAGAGCTAAAAAATATTTTTTGAATTAATTAATTTATCCTAAAGTATTTGGTTATTTATGAAGTTTTAAAAAGGATTATATTTTATAAGTATTTTAATAAGAGAAGCTGTGAATTGACAAATTTCCTTATCAAGAAAAAAAGGGGATAAGTACAAAGAAATAATTGAGATGGAAATTAGTTTGGAATTGGATCATAAATGGAGTGAAGGGGATTTGAAAATGAATTTTAGAATTTTTAATATTTATTATTGCATAATAATACCGGTTTTAGATCAAAATGTATATTTTAATACCTGTGATGACGATTTCAACAACTAGCTCGAACGAAGTTCAAACTTTGATTCGTGTTTGCCAATTTTTGGACTAACACGAAAATGATCACGGTTGCAGACAATTATAATCTCAGTTACAACAACGAGACTACTATTAGTTCAATTATTTAATCAAATATATAATAAAACTTAAACTTGCTTATCAAAAAGACTATTAAAAGAGGGAAACGAATTTGGAATTGGATCCCAAGTGGAGTGAATACGATTTGAGAGGGAAATTGGGATAATCCTCAAAAGATTCCGTTTTTCCATCTAAAAAGATGTGAACCTTAGAATTTTTGGTATCAACAGTTGCGTGAGGAAGACGAATAAAAATAATAAATGGATAGATAAGAATATACGTAACTAATCATCTACTCATATTTTTAGATATATATTTTTTGTTTTATATAATAATTATTTATAGAATATAATGCTAAATAAAAAAATATTTTTATAAATAATAAACCATAGGCACTTGTAATTAATTAATAATATCTTGTGTGTTTTTTTTAAAATATTTGTTATATTTCTTAATTAACATTAATTATTTATATAAATTTTAGTAATCAATTTTGATGAATTTATATTATTGATAGAGAGATTAAATATTCAAATTTTATTATAAGTTTTAAAATTTAAAATTTAGTTATCAAAATCGAGAAGAAATAAAAATAAAAATAATTCTTTAAAACCGTTTTAACGACAAACAAAACAGGAAGAAAAAAAAAAACCTTATTGTTTTATATGGGCCCATAGTGTTTTATCTGGAGGCCCAAAGTCTCAATCACAAGGCTGAGTTATTGGGCCTTGGGCTTGTCTTCCCCCACAGAATATATATTAAAAAATAAAAGGAAAAAGACAAACCGAAAGTAGGAGGTCCGAATTTCCGTTTTGGGCAAGTGCTCGTGAAAGAAAGCACGATACACTCCATCGCTGTCAACCGAAGATCGACGGACGCATAGATTAGCCACTCTGTTTCGAACTTCAGGTTCGTTCCTGTTTTTTTTTTTTTTTTCTAATCGGAATTCTATTTCATTTCGGCCGGCCATTTATATATTCAATTCTGTGTAACACTGCGTTTGGGATGGAATTTCATTTATAGGATTTATTTAACGATTTGATTGGAGCTCTCACTATTAGAGATTGCATGTAAACATTTCCAACGCTTGGATTGTGTTCGGAGTGATTGCGTTGGCTTCTGTTTATGGATTTTTGATATTCTTACTCGATTATGGATTTGGTCTCTGGTTACAAGTTGATCTCACTCTCTTATCTGCATCCGAAGTTTCATGGATTATGATGTTTAGGACAGTAATTTGGTGCTTGTTTATAGTTTTTTATACGATCTTTAGTATTGTGGTTTATCTGTGGGCTTTGTGCAGGGCGTGGTTGGGCTTGTTTTCGGCAATGAGAATTCTGCATCCAATAAAGATAGGTAAGTAGATCTTGTATACTTGTAAACACGAAGATGAATAAACTGCATGGCATACGCTTGCTCATCTTCCTTTTCTCATTCGGATTTTTTTTAATAGTTACGTTTACTGATTCCTTATTTTTTTTTTTTTTTTTTTTTTTTTTTTTTTTTTTTTGGTTAATTGTGAACCGTTTCCATAGCTACGTTGAACGTCTATTGGATCGCATTAGCAATGGTCAGCTTGCAGAGGACAGGAGAGCTGCTATGGTGGAGCTGCAGTCTGTTGTAGTAGAAAATCGTTCTGCCCAACTAGCTTTTGGTGCAATGGGTATGTGCTTTACTTGTTATCTAACTATAGTTGTATGGATTGTCTTAAATTTATAAATAAAGAATATACTTGACATGTTTTTGCAGGATTTCCTGTGCTTATGAGTGTTTTAAAGGAGGAACGAGATGGTGTTGAAATGGTTGCAGTTTATCTGTTCTTTGCTTCCCTTTTATTGAGGAATTAAATCTTGCTTTAGGACTTCTAGTTGTGCTTTCATTCTGAAAAAAGTACATGTTATTGCCGTTTCAAGAAGTATTGGAACAATTAAAGATAATATTACATGGTAAGTCTAGGTTATTTGATATTTCTATGCGGCGAAATTTTTAGTTGATAGTATTATACATTATTAGTTTACTTAATTACTTCTGTTCTAGTTCAATTTGACCATCTGTGGGAAGTCATTCTTTGCTGTTCTTCTTTACTGAGTTTCTTTTTTGTATTTATTCTCCATTACTTGACTTCAGGTTCTAGGGGCCCTTGCAACTCTTGTAAGTGCATTAACTCCTCTCGATCATGCAATGGGTCCAGGGATAAAGTTCAAATCTGATGAACTCTGATTTGGTTTCAAGGGAATCAGACAGCATCTCTCTTCTTTAAGTCTTTTGGTCAGTAATTCCTCATATTTACTAACATTTTCAATAGCTATAGGTTTGGGTATGCATTCGTGCAACTCAGTATCATATCTGATCACTTTTCTCCTCCCTTCTTTGGGTTTCTTTCTGTGCTTTTGCAGTCAGAAGAGGATTTTTTATGTTAGATATTATGCTCTTCAACTGTTGACAGCTCTTCTTTCAAATTCTCCCACGAGGTATATTTATTTTGCGACTCTTTCGAAATGCTTTTTACTATTCTCATTAGTTGAATTGCTGATTTTCCTCTTAGGATTGCAGGAAGCGATTTTCAGCATTCCTCGCAGTATAACTCGACTTATGGACATGCCTATGGACCGCGAGGTATACTTTGGCTAACTAATATAGATAAGAACAGAAAAGTTATAACACGGGACTCACTGATCTCTGAGCATAAAAAAAAAAACCTTAATTTGTATACTCTTGCTTATTCTATGTTTCAGGTATTGAAAATAAAACTTGAATCACCTATGGCATCCTTTGGAGATCCTGAACCTCTGATGATCGAATGGTGAAGTATTTGGCTGTTGCCTCTTCTATGAAAAACAGAAATGGGAAGTTCTGACAAGGTCTACGGCTGCTAGTATGGCTGAATTAAGGCACAAGCAAGGGAAGAAGCTCTGAAGGAGAGTGAGACTGAAGTGAATGACTTGCATGTGTGCCTCGGGCATGAACAAAGCAAGGCTATTGGAGTTAGGAGAGGATGTTGATAAGCTTCTTGAAGGTATCGGAGATGACCTCGGGCTGCCTCGTCGACGAAGATGAAGCCTGATATGCTGTATGTGATGCTCCTGTGCCTTCTCTTTCTTATGTGTATGATGATCGATTGTGTTTGAATACTTCAGGAAAAAAAATTAATCTATTAACTTTTAATAAATAATAGTTTGATTTTTTTTTTCATATTTTATAAATTGTAATGATTTAGTTTCTATAATGAAAAATTTAATAAAATTTCTTAACCTAAGATCAAATTTAGTTCTAATCAATAAATAATACGTATTTAATAATAATTGACATACAATATGTTTTTTTGTTTTTATTAAGGTATGATGTTTTGTAATAATAATAATAATAATAATAATAATAATAAGTCCTTATCTCTACTTCACTTTATTCTGCTAAATCTTTCACAATATCGGAAAAAAAAAAAAAAAAAAAAAAAAAAAAAAAA